TCATCAGCACATGTTTATTGTTCTCATTGACATTTTATTTTATTTTCCTTTAACTTTTTGTTTTAATATTTTTTTCCTGAACTATTTAAAAGTAACATAGGAAACAAAATTTCACCCAGCAATATTTTTTTTTGTTTTATAAATTTTTATTAGTGAAACACCTTGAGGTACAGTTGTAGACTTACAATTTTTTTTGTGCTTGGGTTTCCATTATACAATGATCGAGTACCCATCCCTGCACCAGTGCCCATTTTCTACCACCAACGATCCCAGTACCCCTCCCACCCCCTATTTCCCCCACCCCACCCTGCCTTTGTTGCAGGCATTCCCTTTTGTTCTCTCTCTCCTGTTGGGTGCTGTGGTTTGCAAAAGAGGCAATGGGTGACAATCATGTTTGGTCTATAGTCTACTTTCAGCTTGCATCTCCCATCCTGGGAGGATCTTTCCAACACCCTTTACTCGGTGCTCCCTTCTCTATCTGAGCTGCCTTTTCCCCTAGCATGTGAGGCTGGCCTCCAAGCCATGGAGTAAACCTCCTGTACTTATCTTGGCTATTCTTGGATGTTAGTTTCCTATTTTGTTACTTTATGTTCCCCAGATGAATACAATATTTCTATGTCTGCCCCGCTCTTTCTGACTCATTTTGCTTAGCATGGTACTTTCCATGTAGTACCACTTGTATGTAAATTTCACGACTTCATCTTTTCTAACAGCTGCATAGTACTCCATTGTGTAGATGTACCAAAGTTTCTTTAACCAGTCATCTGTTCTCCGGCAGTAACAACAGTTCTCCGGCATTCAGTTATTTTCCAGATTTTGGCTGTTGTAAATAGTGCTGCAATGAACAAACAAGTTCAGATGTTACTTCGCCTATACTTTTTTTCCTCTCTGGGATATATTCCCAGGAGTGGTATTGCTGGATCAAATGGGAGCTCAGTTTCTATTTTTTGAGAATTGTCCATACTGTTTTCCAAAAGCGCTGAACCAGTCTGCATTTCCAGCAGCAGTGAAGGAAGGTCTCTTTCTCGCCACATCCATGACAACACTGGTTGTTTTTGTTCTTTTGGATGTGGGCCAGTCTCTGTGGTGTGAGATGATATCTCATTGTGGTTTTGATCTGCATCTCCCTGATGATTAATGATGTAGAGCATTTTTTCATGTGCCTTTTTTGCCATTTGAAATTCTTTGAGTTTTCGTTCATTTCGTCGCCCCAATTTTTGATGGGTTTGATGTTTTTTCTTGTGGAGTTCTACCAATACTTTGTATATTCTTGATACGATCCCCTTGTCAGATGGGTATTGGGCAAATATCCTTTCCCATTCTGTAGACTGTCTTTGTATTTTGGTCACTATTTCTTTTTAGGGGCAGAAGCTTCTTAGTTTAGATAGTCCCATTTTTCTATCTCTGTTTTTACTTGCCTGGCCAGTAGCATGACATCTCTGAAGATACCATTAGCTTCAGTGTCATGGAGGGTTTTGCCAACTTTGTCTTCAATGTACCTTATGGATTTCAGTCTGATGTTGAGGTCTTTCATCCAGTTTGATCTTACTTTTGTCCATGGCATTGGGCAGAGATATGATCCCATTTTTTTTTTGTATGTATCTGTCCAATTTTGCCAGAACAATTTGTTAAAGGGGCTTTCCTTGCTACACTTCACATTTCTTGCTCCCTTATCAAAGATCAGATGATCATATGTTTGGGGTGAGATGTCAGTATATTCAACCCTGTTCCATTGGTCTGCAGCTCTGCCTTTGTTCCAGTACTGTGCCCAAATCAGACCATACATCGGCCTCTGGAGGATGGCCATCTCCAAGCCACCATGGGGAACAGGCCAAGGCATGAAACCTATTCTCACCTGGGGTGGCCTCGTGCTGGAACCTACTGCAGGGACTAGATGCATTTCTACCAAAAGCCGCTGGGTTCCGAGATTTGTTTCTTTAGTCTCTGGATTCATGGCCATTAAGCAGCTTGATCAGGAGCCAGAGAGGCCATTCGTGGGCGGTGACTCTGGGTGTTATTGGGGGTGGTGAGGAAAGGGCTGTGCTCCACCCCCATCCCTTGAGGCCCAACGTATCTTGTCACTGCTGGCCCAAACTTGTGTGTCCAATGGCCTCTGGAGGATGGCGGCCACAGCCACCAAAGAGGATCAGGTGGAGGAACAGCACCCTTTTCCCCCTGGCATGGGCTGGCGACTGTAACTTACTGTGGGTTCTGGATGCATTTTTGCCAAAAGCCGCAGGGTTTGAAGATTTGTTTTTGAGTCTCTGGAATCATAGCCATTAAGTAGCTTGATCAAGAGCCAGAGAGGTCTTTCATAGGTGGTGACTTGGGGGTCTCGTTGGGGTAGGGAGGAAAGGGACCGCTCCACTCCGTCCTGTGAGGCCTTGTATGTCTCGTTACTGTGAGCCCAAACGCGACTGTCCACTGGCCTTTAGAAGATGGCAGGCACCGAGCCTTCAAGGGGGAGCAGGTGGAGGGACAATACCCTTTCCCCCTTGGGGTGGTCCAGCACCAGAAACTCATTTTGGGGACCAGACACATCTCTGCCAAAAGCTGCAGGGTTCCAAGATTTATCTCTGAATCTCTGGGATCATAGCCATTAAACAGGTTGATCAAGAACCAGAGAGGCCTACCCTCCAATTAGATAGCTGAGCCGGAGGTGATTTGTGCGGGTGTCTCCCACATACCTAACTTTTGGCCATTTGCTTTCTTGGTAGACATTGGCCCAAGTTTTTGGGGTCTTGCCAAAGGCACAGCAGCAATTTTGGGGTATCTGGATGTCTGATGGTGCCATCAGACTCTGATGTACTCGCCTCACAGGTACAGGTTGACCTGCTGGTGGCACCATACACCCTTCTATTGCATTTTTCACTCACTATGCAAAATCTTAGTGGATATTCTGAAGACATTTTTCCCCCACTGAAATCTAGCAGTAGAGGGGAAAATTATGAAAGAAAATATTTGGGGGTATGGTGCCCCAGCATGTCAGTCTGTACCTGTGAGGCGCGTCCATCAGCAGCCTGATGGTGCCTTCAGACTTCCAGAAACCCCAAAATTGCTGCTGTGCCTTTGGCCAGACCCCAAAAACTTGGGGCAAAGTTTACCAAGAAAGTAAATGGCAAAAAGTTAGGTATGTGGGAGACACACCCACAAACCACCTCCAGCTCAGCTATATAATTGGAGGCATGGCCTCTCTGGTTCCTGATCGAACTGCTTAATGGCCATGATCTCAGAGACTCAGAAACAAATCTTGAAACCCAACAACTTTTGGCAGAAATGCGTCCAGTCCCTGCAGTAGGTTACAGGTGCTGGGCCATTCCATGTGGGAATAGGTTTCATGTCTTGGCCTGTTCCCCCTGCCGACCTAGTGGCCATCATCCTCCAGAGGCCACTGGGTGGTCAGATTTGTGCCTGCAGTGATTGGACACGCGGGGCCTCAAGGAATGGGGATGGAGCTGGCCCTTTCTTCCCCATCCCAGCAAGACCCTGAGTCATCACCCACAAACACCTCTCTGGCTCCTGATTAAGCTACTTAACAGCCATGATTCAAGAGACACAGGAACAAATCTTGGAACCCAGCAGGTTTTGGCAGAAATCCCTCCAGATTTAATTGTTAAAATTTCGGAATTTCAAAATTGCACAGCCACTACTGCAGCCATCAGTATGTTATTCATAACCAGCAATAGAAAACAAATTGTCTGTGGTTGCCTTTTCAGCAGATCTGAGTGTTGAGGTAAAATTACAAATAATAATGGTGGGTCTGGTGTCAAAATATTGAATGTAATCCAAGTAGATAGAGATTAATGTAGAAATCATCTGCCCCATAGGTAGGGGGAGGGTGTGAGATGGGGGTATACTGGGGTTTTTGGGGGTGGAGAATGGGCACTGGTGAAGGTACGGGTGTTTCATTGTATGGCAGAGACTTAAACCCGAAAACTTTGTAACTGCTCTCACGGTGATTCAATAAATAAAATTATAAAAAATGAAAAAAAAAGTAGGGTGGAGTTCATGCCCAATTCATCCAGCTAATCAGTGGCTGAATCAATAGCAGTACTCCTAGATAAAAAAAAAAGAGAAAATATTTATTTACTTTCCTTAATTATTTTCTGGGGCCTGGAGCAGTAGCACAGCGGGTAGGGCATTTGCCTTACACACAGCCAACATGGCTCACCCGAGTTCAATTCCTCCACCCCTCTCGGAGAGCCCGGCAAGCTACCGAGAGTATCTCACCCACACGGCAAAGCCTGGCAAACTACCCGTGACGTATTCGATATGCCAAACACAGTAACAAGTCTCACAATGTTACTGGGCCCGCTTGAGCAAATCAATGAACAACGGGAGGACTGTGACTGTGACTGTGAATTATTTTCTGGTTTTGATCATAGCCAACAGTGCTCAGGCCACTTCTGGATTTGCACTCTAAATCTGAATCATTCCTCCTGGTACCACAGTCATGTGCAAGGCAAATGCCCTGCCCTCTGTACTAACATCTTGAACCCCCCCCCTCATTTACTCACTTTAAATATCTTTTCCCCCTGAGATTCCTTTTTAGAATTTCACTACAGCACTACAAGATATTGTTAGGTAGATCATGAGGCTATTTGATGTTATTCCTAATATTAATATTTCAGTTGTTACTTTGCAGCTGATGTTTGGAAAATGATGAATGACCTCAGTTTATCGTGCATTGCATAGGCTGCAGGTAATTGCATGAGTGGGCCTCTGTCAGTAGCGGGATTCAGTACCGTACACCATTGAGTCCTTAGACTGAATCCTTCTATAACCAACCCTTCCTGGTTATACTTATGTAACTAACATATAAGGGTAATGGCAAAGTTCTCAGAAGTCTTGTTGCAGTGTTGGGGGAGAGAGGAGGAGAAAGAGATAGTGGAAGAATATAATAAAGCCTTTGAGAGTGTTTAATATGTGTGTGGCTGTTTATTAGTACATTTTAGAACCTGTTCAAAACAGGTCATGTGTCCATTTTATTGTGTTTGTAGGTGACCATGGAGGAAGTACTTTACTCCCACCTAATGTTATCAATGAATTTCCAGAATATGGGACTATGGAGGAAAGTGGAGAAGGGCTGAGAGCCTCTCTTGAATTGGATGCAGACTCTCTACCATGTTGCCCACAAGGGCAGCAGGAGGTCCTGCCTCTTGATGGTCAGTATTCTGGACTTGACAGTGTTGTAGAAGGAACAGAAGATGTCAGAGAGGTCCTCTCTGAAAGTCTTCCCAAGGAACTAAGTTTACAACCCATTGACTCTTTAATAACAGCTCTGAATGTCACAGAAACCAGAAGAACTTCAGGAACATTACAGGCTACAGTACTGAACAAAGATGCTGTTTCTAGTTTTTCAGTTCAGCCTGTTGAAAACGAGCCAGAGACTTTCTGTGAGGGAACAGAGAGAGCCAACAAGTGTCTCCCAGCTGTACAGGAAAGATCATCACATACTCCTCTTTCAGCAGAAGTTATGATCAAGGGGGATTTTAACCTAAGAGTCCAGAAGGATTTGTCTGCACCATTAACTAGGGAAGCTCAGGCCGAACTTTTCCAAACAACTAATAATTTGAGCAAAGGAGCTCTAAGTGTAAAGGAGCAAGCTTGTCCTCTGTTCTCAGTGGGGAGCACAACAACACCCCCTACCTCCACAGGCAGTGCTGGTGTTCTGAGAGACTGGAGATCTGATGTGGAGAGAGAACACCTAGGAAGATCTGTGGACCACTCATGCCGGATCAAACGTGTGGAATTTCAAGGAGTGGAAATACTGTCGACAGAAGAGAAAAGAGAGGCATGTCATACCATGGATTATGAGACATTGTTGGAGAAGCCAACTTCTGCTGAAAGCAAAGAATTTTCTGAGGTTACAGGCAATCTCAGACCACCTTCTGATTTACATAATTCCATTGGTTTAACTGAGAACACTTTGGATGAACCCTGGAAGGCTCTCTCTGAGAGACCTAGTGCAAGCTCAGGCACATTTTCCCCTGCACATCTTATTGAGAGTGGGGAGGATGAAGTCTTTCTAAAGGAAAAAAAAGAGTATCTTGAGAAGAAAGTAGAAATGGAGATTGTCAAGGAGAGGTAAGCTTTCACAGTGGTCCTGCAGTTGTGATGCCTGCCATAAACTGTAATAATATCATTCTGTGTTCAGCTTTGAGAAGTCTATTCACAGCCTTCTGGCTCCTTACTAACATAGAAAGCAATTATTTTAAGCCAGATTCTTTCTAAGTGTTTAAGATGTTAAAGTTAAGCTTTTAAAAAAGGTGTCCATTTAAAAAGTGTCAATTGGGCATGGTGTAGTTCTAAGGAAAGCAGGTTTATGGAGCCATATATTAAGGTCTGTGACTTCATTTCTAATATATTTCAGGTTACAATTTCTAAACATCAGATTAACAAAACTCTCCACATTTACCATTAATAATATGAAAACATACATGCACACCTACCTCACTCTCCCACCTCCCACTCCCCCCTGCACATGCACACACCATACCACACTGAAGTTCTGGACTTTAGCTAACTGAGGTTTCTAGGATTAGAGAGGTTAGGAGTCAAGAGTCAGTCTAATTGAGTTGTTTCATTGCATTCATTTTAGAATCTCTTCTTGAGGGTAGCCCATGTTATGATTAAGGACCTGGAAAGTAAACTTGGATTGTGGTATTTCCTGGTATTTATCAATCTTTCCAACCTCCATGCCAGCTTAGTACCTGACCTATCCCTCTGCCCTTCCATGAACACTCACACCTCCTTTTAGCAAAGTCATTTATGTAGTGTCAATGTACAGATAATCAATTCGTTCCTTCATTATTTCTTCTCTTTATTTCCTTCAACATGTTTTACAAATGTCATCGTATGTTCTGTGTTAATTGTTCTCATGGAGTTTACTGCCAAAGAGAGATACTTATGAAATAAACACACGAACAACTATAGAATTACAATTTGTCTTAAGTTTCCTAACAAATGAACAGACGTACAATAGAAATAATAATTTGAAAGTAGGCAAAATGTTAACATATTTAATGACTTGGAAGGTTTCTTATGGAAATGATAATTTGTCAGATTTGGAGTATTGCCAGTTAGCCAGACAAAGAAAGGTGGAGGGAACAACCTGTGCAAAGGAGGAGTAGAGCATGACAGGCCTACATGTGTTTTCTGGAATTTTCAAAAAACAAAAACCTCATGGTAAATATAAATATCTGAGATTTTACCTGTGTTACTGGAGCATAGGGATGGGAGGGAGTTAGGAATGTATGTGTGGGTAAGTAGGAAGTGAGTGTGGAGAGTAGGGTGTGGGTTAATAAAAGGAGCGTTTCCTTTTACTACAGGTGCAATGAGAAACAATGAGATTTAAATATGAACAGAATTTGGCATAGGGTACCACCTTCTATAATTTAAAAATAACCTAGACAACTATTTGGTTGGATATAAATTCAAGAATGTGGATTACTTAATAAGGATGTTCCATTTATAATTTACTCCTATTTATTTATATTTTTAATCCCATATATATTTATGCCTATTTATAGAAACTTGAAGCACAGAGAGGTTAAGTTGCCTAAAGTGTCACATTATAATTTGTGCATATAAAAGTCAGCTCTAAATATTAAAATTTTTTATTTTTATTTTTTTATGTAGGAGTACTGCTATTTATTCAGCCATTGATTAGCTGATTGGATTGTGCATGAACTCCACCGTAATTTTTTTTCATTTTTTTTATAATTTTGTTTATTGAATCACCGTGAGAGCAGTTACAAAGCTTTCACCTCTAAGTCTCGATCATAAGATGAAACACCCGTACCTTCACCAGTGACCATTCTCCACCCCCAACAACCCCAGTATACCCCCATCCCACACCATCCCCCTATCTGTGGGGCAGATGATTTCCACATTACTCTCTCTCTACTTTGATCACATTCAATATTTTCACACCAGAACTACCATTATTATTTGAGATTTTACCCCAAAACTCAGATCTGCAGAAAAGGCAACAGTAGACAATTTGTTTTTTATTGCTGGTTATGAATAACATATGATGTCATGTTGCTGCAGTAGTGGCTGCGTGATTTTAAAATTCCGAAATTTTAACACTTAAATCTGGAAGGATTTCTGCCAAAACCTGCTGGGTTCTGAGATTTACTCCTGAGTCTCTGGGATCATAGGTGTTAAGCAGCTTGATCAGGAGCCAAAAAGGCCATATAATACCCTTTCCTCCCTGGGGTGGCCTGTCGACAGTAACCTACTGTGAGGTCCGGACACATTTCTGCCAAAAGCCACTGGGTTTCGAGATTTGTTTCTGAGTCTCTGGGATCATAGGTGTTAAGCAGCTTGATCAGGAACCAGAGAGGCCATTCGTGGGCGATGACTTGGGGTCTCATTGGGACAGGAAGGACAGGACAGGACTGGCTCCACCCCTATCCCGTGAGGCGCAAAATATCTCGTCACTGCAGGCCCAAACCTGACTGTCCAATGGCCTCTGGATTGACAGCCACCGAGCCGCCAAGGGGGAGCAGGCGGAGTGACAAACATCCTTTCCCCCCTGGGGTGGCCCGGTGACAGTAATGTACTGTGGGGTCTGAATGCATTTCTGCCAAAAGCCACTGGGTTTTGAGATTTGTTTCTGAGTCTCTGGGATCATGGTCGTTAAGCAGCTTGATCAGAAGCCAGAGAGGCCGTTTGTGGGCGATGATTTGGGGTCTTGTTGGGGTGGGGAAGGACAGGACCAGATCCACCCCCATCCCTGATTCCCAATGTGTCTTGTCACTGCGGGCCCAAACTTTACTGTCCAGTGGCCTCTGGAGGATGGCGGCCACTGAGCCACCAGGGGAAACAGGCCAAGGCACGAAACCTATTCCCACCTGAATCGGCCCAGCACAAGTAACCTACTGCAGGGATTGGACGCATTTCTGCCAAAAGCCGCAGATTTTTCTGATTTGTTTCTGAGTCTTTGAGATCATGGCCATTAAGCAGTTCAATCAGGAACCAGATGAGGCCATGCCTCCAATTATATAGCTGAGCCAGAGGTGGTTTGTGGATGTGTTTCCCACATACCTAACTTTTGGCCATTTACTTTCTTGGTAAACTTTGCCCCAAGTTTTTGGGGTCTGGCCAAAGACACAGCAGCAATTTTGGGGTTTCTGGAAGTCTGAAGGCACCATCAGGCTGCTGATGCACTCCCCTTACAGGTACAGATTGACCTGCTGGTGGCACCATACCCCCTTTTTAAAATTTTTTTTTAAAAAAAATTATTAGTGAAACACCATGGGATACAGTAACAGACTTACAAACTTTCGTGCTTGCATTTCAGCCATACAATGATCGAGTACCCATCCCTCTACCAATGCCCATTCTCCACCAAATTTTTGTATGATTATTCTTTCACTTTGATACTTTAGCAATGGCTTATGTGCCTCTACTAGTATTAGAGTATCTGCATGAGACTATATTATACTGAACCTCTAACACCCCAGGTCCCAAAGCTAATCAGAGAACACATGTTTCTGGGAAAAAGTGAGAGTTTATTAGTTCCAGCAAATAGAGGCAAAGGAGATCGCAAAATCCAGGTCTTCCCACAGTTCACAAGAGGGTTTTTAAGCTCGATTAGTTCATGTACAGATGAAGTGGGTTGCAGGTAGTTATGGTTATAGTTTTTAGTTTCACAAGACTTCGTGGTATCTTGTAGTTGATGATCATACATTACCCTCTACTGTTCAGAAACTGAAATCATTACTTAAGAAAGGATTCAGGATGGGAGTACTCTGATTTGATTACATTTGGTTTATATTAACAGGGTTAGGGTACGGTTTTCTGGGAAGAGTGATTATTTCTATTTTTTTTTACTCAAATACATTGAAGTTTATTATAAATTTTTTTAGATATTATTATTGAAACATCATGAGGTACAGTTGTAGAGTTACAAATTTTTGTGCTTGGGTTTCAGTTATACAATGATCAAGTACCCATCCCTTTTTCTAGTGCCCATTTTCCACCACCACGGATCCCAGTATCCCTCCCACCCCCCATCCACCACGTTCTACCCTACCTCTGTGGCAGGGCATTCCCTTTTGTTCTCTCTCCCTTTTGAGTGCTGTGGTTTGCAAAAGAGGCATTGAATGGCAATCATGTTCGGTCCATAGTCTACTTTCAATATGCTTCTCCCATCCTGGGAGGATGCCCCCAATACCCTTATTTTGATGCTCCCTTCTCTATCTGAGCTGCCTTTTCCCCTAGCATGTGTGGCTGGCCTCCAAGCCATGGAGTAAACCTCTTGGTACTTATCTCGGCTATGCTTGGATGTTAGTCTCCTATTGTGTTACTTTATGTTCCCCAGATGAATGCAATATTTCTATGTCTGTCCCTCTTTTTCTGAATAATTTCACTTAGCATGATACTTTTCATGTAGTACCACTTGTGTGTAAATTTCATGATTTCATCTTTCCTAACAGCTAGATAGTATTCCATTGTGTAGATGTACCAAAGTTTAGCCAGTCATCTATTCTCGGGCTCTCGGGTTTTTTCCAGATTCTGGCTATTGTAAACAGTGCTGCAATGAACAAACAAGTGCAGATGTCACTTCGACTATACTTTTTTTCCTCTCTGGGATATATTCCCAGGAAAGGTATTGCTGGGTCAAATGGGAGCTCAATTTCTAATTTCTGGAGAATCATCCACACTGTTTTCCAAAAGGGCTTAACCAGTTGCCATTCCCACTAGCAGTGAAGGAGGGTCCCTTTCTCGCCACATCCACGCCAGCACTGGTTGCTTTTTCTCTTTTGGATGTGGGACATTCTCTGTGGTGTGAGATGATATCTCATTGTGGTTTTGATCCGCATCTCCCTGATGATTAGTGATGTAGAGCATTTTCTCATGTGCCTTTTTGCCATTTGGATTTCTTCTTTGAGAAAGTTTCTGTTCATTTCATCGCCCCAATTTTTGATGGAATTGGATGTTTTCTTCTTGTGGAGTTCAACCAGTACTTTATATATCCTTGATATCAACCCCTCTTCGGATGGTTATTGGGTGAATATCCTTTCCCATTCTGTAGACTGTCTTTGTATTTTGCTCACTCTTTTCATTTTAGGGGCAGAAGCTTCTTAGTTTAAGATAGTCTCATTTGTCTATCTATGTTTTCACTTGCTTGGCCAGTGGCGTGACATCTTTGAAGATACCATTAGCTTCAATGTCATGGAGGGTTTTGCCAACTTTGCCTTCAATGTACCTTATGGATTCTGGTCTGATGTTGAGGTCTTTCATCCATTTTCATCTTACTTTTTTACATGGTGTTAGGTAGATTTCTGAGCCCATTTTTTTGCATGGAGCCATACAGTTTTGCCATCACAATTTGTTAAAGAGGCTTTCTTTACTCCATTTCACATTTCTTGCTCCCTTATCAAAGATCAGATGATCATATGTTTGAGGGGAGATGTCAATATATTCAACCCTGTTTATTGGTCTGTAGCTCTGCCTTTGTTCCAGTACCATGCTGTTTTAATTAAAACTGCTTTGTATTAGAATTTGAAGTTAGGGAGGTCGATTCCTTCCATTTTCTTTTTCCCAAGAATTGCTTTAGCTATTCGTGGGGGCTTATTGTTCCATATGAATTTCAGGAGTGTTTGCTCCATTTCTTTGAAGAACGTCATGAGTGTCATTATATGGATCACATTGAATTTGTACAATGCTTTGGGAAGTATTGCCATTTTGACAATGTTAATTCTCCTGATCCATGAGCAGGGGATTTCTTTCCATTTTCTTGTGTCCTCTTTTATTTCCTGGAGTAGTGTTTTGTAGTTTTCTTTGTACAGGTCCATTACTTCCTTACTTAAGCTGATTCCTAGGTTCTTGATTTTCTGGAGCACAATTGTGAACGGGATTGTTTTTTTCATGTCACTTTCCTCTCTCTCACTGTTTGCGTATAGGAATGCCATGACTTTTGGGTATTGATTTTATAGGCTGCAACTTTACTGTACAAGTCTATTGTTTCTAGGAGTTTCTTGGTAGAGGTTATAGGGTTCTCCAAGTATAGTATCATATCATCTGCGAATAGTGAGAGCTTGATTTCTTCTTTTCCTACCAGAATGAGCTTATATTTTTTTCTTGTCTAACTGCTGTTGCAAGTACTTCCAGTACTATATTGAATAGCAGTGGAGAGAATGGGCATCCTTGTCTCGTCAAGGTGGCCTTTATAGGGTTTCTCCAACCTACCCCCATGTGGGGCTTTTTCCCTGGTAAAAATCCATTGCTAAGGAGGTTACCAGGGAGGATAGGAGTGGTGATGGTCCTCTGAAATTCCTTTTCTGGCCTTTTGTTCCTGCAGGAGCTTCTTTGGGTTTGTTGCTGGAGCCAGGTGAGGGTCTTATTAAGCCTTAGTTCCTGTTTTCCTATTTTCTGCAGGACTGGCTTTTGTCATTGCCTAGGGAGGGGGCCTTCCCTGTCTTCCTGCCTACATCATTTTCAGATATTCCAGGTTTTCTTGTTTCAGTTTGGGAGTGTTTAGGAATCTAGGAATTTATCCATTTCCTCAAGGTTTTCATGTTCCCTGGCATAATGCTTCTCAAAGTACTCCCTGTGGATCCTTTGAATTTCTCTATTTTCTGTTGTAATGACCATCTTTTCATTTCTGATTTGGTTCATTACGGTTTTCTATCTCCCTTTCTTTGTGAATTTTGTTAGAGGCTTGTGGATCATGTTTATTTTCTCAAAAGAACCAGCTCTTGGTTTCATTGACCTTTCAGATTGTTTTTTGGGTTTCCATTTCGTTAATTTCTACTCTGAGTTTTATTTCCTTCCTCTTGTTCATATTGGCCTCCTTAAGTTGGTCCTTCTCCAAGCTCTTAAGCTGTGAGGTTAGCTTACTTATGTGGGCTCCCTCCTCTTTCCTGAGTAATACTTGCAGAGCTATAAACTTTCTTCTTAACAGAGCTTTTGCTATGTCCCATAAGTTTTGGTAACTCGTGTCCTCATTTTCATTCGTTTCCAGGAATCGTTTGATTTTCTCTTTGATTTCCTTTGTAAGCTACTCGTCCAATAGTGAACTGTTTAATTTCCAGATGTTTGATTTAGTTTTCTGTTTGTGTGTGTGATTTACTTCTAATTTCAGTGCATTATGGTCTGAGAAGATTGTTGATACAATCTCTATCTTCTTAATTTCATGGAGGTATGTTTTGTGGCTCAGCATTTGGTCTATCTTGGAGAATGTTCCATGCATGCTTGAGAAGTATGTATATTCAGATTTTTGAGGATGAAGTGTCCTGTATATATCTACTAAGCCCCTTTCTTCCATTGTTTCCCTCAGATGAAATGTGTTCTTGCTATGCTTGAGTCTGGTTCATCTATGAAGAGGTGATAAAGTGGTGTTGAAGTCTCCCACTAGTATTGTGTTGCTATCAGTGTCTTTCTCCAAGTCTATGAGTAGTTGTTTTAAGTACTTTGCTGGTCCCTCATTAGGTGCATATACATTTAGTATTGTAAGTTCTTACTCTTGTACAGGTCCCTTGATAAATAAGAAATGGCCTTCACTGTCTCTCTTGTGACCTTCTTCTCTCTGAAATCAATGTGGTCTGATACTAGGATAGCTACCCCAGCTTTTTTATGGGAGCTGTGTGCCAGTAGGATTGTTTTTCAGCCTTTCACTCTGAGCCTGTCTTTGCTTTGACTATTGAGATGTGTTTCTTGCAGGCAGCAGAATGTTGGGTTCAATTTTGTAATCCATCCTGCCACTGTGTCTTTTAATTGGTGGCTTAGCCTATTGACATTGATAGAGATTATTGTTATGGGGTTTTGTCCATTTTTGTGTTGTAAATGGGTGTCTTTGAGAGGCCTGTCTTGTCTTAAAGTAGCCCATTTAGTTGTTCTTATAACCATGGTTTTGAGTCTGTGAAGTTCCTGAGCTGTTGTTTGTCTGTGAAACTGTGTGTTGTTCCTTCTGTTATGAATGAGAGTCTCACTGGGTGAAGTATTTTTGGTGAGGCATTTGTTTCATTGATTTTTTTCACTATATTCCACCACTTCTTTGGGCCATGAGAGTTTCATCAGACAAATCAGCTGATTCTTAAGGATAATCCTTTGTAGGAAATTTCTTTGTTTGATCTTGCTGCTTTCAGAATTTTTTGTCTATCTAAGGTTTTGGTCATTTTGATCAGGATGTGTCTTGGGGTATTTTTATTCGGATTTCTTTTAGCTGGTACCCTTCAGGCCTCCTGAATGTTGTCACGTTTTCCTTAGCTCTGGAAACGTCATAGCAATGATGTCTTTGACAGTTTCTTCTTCATCAGGGTTTTCTTCCTGTCCCTCTGGGACTCCAATAATTCTTTGTTATCCCTCTTGGCTTCATCACGATCTTCTCTTGCCATCTGTTCCCGAATTGTGAGTCTCTTTTCCATTTTCTGCTCTTTCTTGGAGAGTCTCAGGACTTCCTCTTCGAGCTCACTGATTCTGTTCTCAGCAGCTGTTACTCTGAGGACTTCCACTGAGTTTTTCAATTCGCCTACCAGGTTTTTCAGGTCTGACATTTCTGTTTGCATTTATTTCTACCTTCAAATCCTCTTGTCTTTTATTGGCATTGCTTTCCATTGTTTCTTTTAGCTCCCTAAGCATTCTCAGTAGCTCCCTTCTAAATTCCTTGTTGGAGAGGTTGTCTAGCACTTCATTACTGTTGGTGTCTTCTGGACTAGCCTCTTCAATAAGAAAGCGTGGTGGGCTTTTGTGTTGCTTTACCATTGTGACTAGTGTGCTTTAGACCTTCATGCTCACTATTACTATTCTGCTTGAGATGCAGAACGAATTGAGATGAGCTTAATGAATTATTGGCTAATGTGTTTCTGGTATTTAAGGTAACCTAGTGAAGGTTCAATCTAAGAGGGTAACTTATGGTTCCTATGGAATATGTAGTGGGAGAATAACTTGTGGCCACATTAGCGGCCATGGCTCTGGGAAGGGGCCCTGGTGCAGGGCAGGTATCTGGTTGAATGAGGAGAGAGTGCCTGGAGCGGTTCAGCTTTGTTTTTGCATGATGTGCCTCAATTCCCATCCCCTGCAGACCAAGCATGAAAACTGGCCATTCTCAGGGGATCTAGTTAGCCGCACAGGCCCAGGAAGGGGCCCTCTTGCCGGGCGGGTACCTAATTGAATGAGGATATTTAAAATTTTTAACCTTGATTTTGCTGAAAATTTAAAGGCTTACTTTTGCCTTGTGCATAGCTGGCCCTGCCATGCTGAGTTTTATTCCTATACCTCTCTCGGAGAGCCCAGCAAGCTGCCGAGAGTATTTCGCCTGCATGGCAAATGTTGGCAAGCTACCCTTGACGTATTCAATATGCCAAACACAGTAACAACAAGTCTCACGATGGAGACGTTACTGGGTCCGCTCGAACAAATCGATGAACAACAGGAGGACAGTGACAGTGACTTATATGAATGTTCATTTTTAATATTTGAAGAACATACTTTATAGAAATAACTCCTCACCCAAGTATATTAACGTGTAAGTTGTATCTAAGTTTTTACTCGCCTTGTGAGAAATGTGTATTTTGAAATATTTTATCAGTATCATTCACTTTCTGATTTTTGGATTAGAAATTTCTGTAATGCTGCACTATTTTCAGCAGAGGGCAGCCTTTAAATTCTAATATATCTATCATTTTTAAGTCAGAAGGTAACTAAGATTAATGAATGTTTAGTGTATATTTTTTATGTTTACATAATATATTTATGTTAAAAATAAAATGGCAGCTGTTATGGTGAGCTTGTGGAGTCTAATTTGTGAAAATGAGAATTTAGGAGTTTACTCAAATAATTATTGGATCAAATATATTCATATTCTACGAAGTTAGCAGGAAGGACTGTGTAGAGAGTTTTATCCTGAAATTTTATTTAAAACAAAATGTTTATATAAGACCCGTGAGTAAAAGTGCCAGTTCCTCAGAATATGATTATTTTTTGTATTTGGAGGTTTAATTAAACAAGAATAAATAAGCGTAATATTGAAATTCTTCTTTTGCAGGAATTTTGAGAGAGGGGAACATTTTAGAGAAGAAAACGATGATGTCCTTGGACCAGGGTATACAGAGGACTCCACTGACGTCTACAGCTCCCAGTTTGAGACCATTTTGGACAACACTTCTTTATACTACAGTGCTGAGTCGTTGGAGACATTATACTCAGAGCCTGATAGCTACTTTAGCTTTGAAATGCCTCTCACGCCAATGATACAGCAGCGCATTAAGGAAGGTGGTCAGTTCCTGGAGAGAACATCTGCAGGAGGACAGCAAGATGTCCTGGGTGTCTCAGCAGACGGAGGAATTATGATGGGCTATTCCAGTGGACTCCTCAATGGGCTGAATGATGCTAGCGACTCCATCTATGTGAAAAGTAGCCCGGAAATTGCTTTCTGGGATAGGTATTAGTCTCATTTTTAAAAAATTAGTTTTATGTTGGTGACTTTATAGTATTTTCTTTCTGGCAAATCTGTTTGGGAATATATTTTAAAAGCATTTGGCAAATTATGTGACTAAAATGTATTTAAGATTTAGGGCAGTCATAGTACACTTCGTGGTTTGCCAAATTAGCAATTGTGGTCACTATATTGGATGTTATATCCTGGATTACCATATACAACATGGGTCCTGAACAGCTATTTATAGGTATTGAGTAGGCTTCAGCTCCAGTGCTGCAGCTTTCGTTGGCTGAGAAGAACAGAGATATATTGATTTTCGTTCTATTGTTGACATTGGTAAACCTTGTTTAATCATCAAGGGATTAATTTCTCAACTATAATTTGAGGTTGTTTGTTAAGATGGTCCCTTCTAGAAGTTCTCTCTATCTATTCTACTCTGGGCAGTTTTTCTGGATTATGGGGAATAATATGATTTTCTGGATGTTTGATAGAACTGATTTATTGTTCATGGATATAAATATTATTATTTTTCTCTCAACTTTAGGATTTAAGTCTCCCTGGGAGATAAAAATGGCAAACTAGATAGGTTACATTTGATGTGCTTATCATTTAATTATTCCTTATGTATTTGTTAGCTTATCTAGTGTTTCATTTCTTTTTGGCTCATTATCCATTTACCTGTATTTTTATCACCTTCATCAGTGAGCAGAGAGTGCTAAACTTCTCAACAGTTTTGTGAATTTGTTTTTGGTATATTTCGGAATTAAATTTCTTTAGTGTATTAAGGGAAAAGGAAGCAAAGGTAAATGGGGATACACTATTTTAAATCAGTATAAAAAGTGCTGATTTTTTTAAGCCAATGTTCTTATAAAGTCATTTAGCTTACCCTTGAGAAATATGTCCTGTGTTAAGTACTTTTTTATCTAGTTTACTGCATGAGTAGATGTAAATTTGGAAGGCATAATGTACCAGAATAAGTTCAATGTAGAATGAATGAATTAGGGCTCTTGATTGTATTATTGGATCCTTAATGAGTTAAGACAAGAAGCATAGATCTCATAGGGTAGAAGACCTTGATATAAATTACTGGGCAAGCTGCTAGTTCTCTTTGGAAAACAACTTATGTATTTGTGTAATGGAGCTTATTATATCTAGTGCAGTGACTGGTCATGAGATTTAAGGATTAATATAGATAAAAGATATAAAGGTTAATATAGATAAAACATAGTGCCCTGTGCAGAATGGGAGCTTGGATAACTGTTTGAATCTTAATTAGTTAAGAATCATGGCAGTAAGAGGAGTAGAGGTTAAATTTCGGAATTAAATTTCTTAAGAATCATGGCAGTAAGAGGAGTAGAGGTTAAATTTCGGAATTAAATTTCTTTTTCGGAATTAAATTAAATTCGGAATTAAATTTCGGAATTAAATTAAATTTTGTAGGTGAGTATACCAATTTAATCTTTTTCTTTCACTGTCATCTCTGATAATTATAAATTGTGAAAATACCATTGGACAACTATATAGAAAATTCACTGAAATTCCTAATTTTGGGATGAGTGAAATTTGTTTATGTTACAGGTCAAAAACAGAAAAACTGAGTCATTTTGATTTGAGAGACTTTATTCCAGGAGTTACAGGGACAATGAGTAAGTGAAGATAAAGAGAGGAACTTTAGTAAATGGAAACAAAAAGAAATTAAATAAAAGTATGTTAAGCGTGTGGGTTGCACACTTGGATTTGGATGTAGGCATTTGGGCAAGCCTGAGTGTTGGTCTTTAGCAAGACTAAGTTAAATATTTAAGAGACAGTATGAAGGTGGACTGCAGTGTTTTAGATTCTAAGTATTTCTGGTCATCTTGAGATAGTTTCAGCTGTGTCATCAGCATTGTTGTATGTGAGGTTTTATCCAATGAGAAACTTTTTGTAGGTGAGTATACCAGACTTTCTGCCCAGTGCTGACTCTGCTTTCTTTGATCCCTGACTAGTGATCAGCCAGCACTTAAAGTACCGTCAGCAAAATGGACACAGTAGCATAATAGTGTACCCTATTTATGTTCTTGAATTTGCACAATATCCTAGTTGATAAAGCTGGAGACTATTTTGCGATATCTATTTAGAGTTAAAAAGAATATTGTTGAATTACAGATCCTAAGAAATTAAAAATATACTGTATAGCTTGCCATGGAGCGGGAGTGGCTTCTTCCCTGCGTTACCTGGCCAGTCGGTCTGAATGGTTAAATGCTTGGGTCTGTGGTGCAGTGTGGTGCTGGAGACCTAGCTCATCTCTGCTGCTCAGAGGCCTACGTAACTTTCCCTGTGGCTGGGTGGGTGGGTGAGCTGAGGAGGTGCATAGAGAGGAATTCTGATTCTTGTACAGGCAAGGCAAGCTGCAGATTTTGAGCTATTTCTCTGGCCTTTGTGTTTTCCCTTATGTTCTGTATCTTCTTGGTGCTTTGGAGGAATTGAGGAAAGACATTTTATAGCTTGAAGTGGGCCTGCGATAACCTTACTTTACAGGAAGAAATCTGTTTCCAGTTTCTTGTGAGGGGCTAACACGAAGTCTCATGATTTTCTAGTGACATATTCTGTCTCACTGTCACACAATCTGTCACACTGTCCTCCTGGTGTTTATCAATTTGCTTGAGCGGGCACCAGTAATGTCTCCATTGTGAGACTTGTTACCATTTTTGGCATATCGAATACGCCACGGGGAGCGTGCCAGGCTCTGCCATGCAGGTGGGATACTCTTGGTAGCTTGCCGGGCTCTCTGAGAAGGATGGAGGAATCAAACCTGGGTTGGCCTCGTGCAAGGCAAATGCCCTACCCACGGTGCTATCGCTTCAGCCTATAGATAAAAATATCTTCATCATTTTTTTATATAATAAAGAAATATTTAAAATTTGCTTTATGGAATTAAGTAGACATCAGTATTGAGTCTGTTGGGGAAAAGCAGAACAGAATGGTGTTCAGTGCCACTAATCTTCCTTCTGTGAATCACTCAGGTCCAAGATTCAAGGATAAATTTTTCAACTTTATTAATGTGTTCTAAACCTTATAAAAATAAAGTATTAAATTAAATAATTTCATGACATTTTGTTTCTATTCAGTGGCCAACCCCATGTTCTTGGTCTCTCTAGTGAGGGGTTATGACCTAGCCTGAGGGGTTATGACATGTTAGGTTTTCTTTGAGAAAGGTGCAGAGCAAAGGGAATAAGACCAATGAGGTATTTCTACCCTGGTCATGCTTCTCATGTTTTAGCCAACCATGAACAAGGAAAACTAAGACTATCACTACAGAAGTATTGATTTTATTAGCCTATTAATTTTAAAGTTGACCTATTTTGCTTGTGACAAAATAACAACCACAAAACCTCCCTCCAAAACAGAACTATATTTGTTTGAAATTGCTTGAGTACGCTTTAATTTTTTTTTCTTTTTGGGTCACACTTGGTGATGTACGGGGTTACTCCTGGCTCTACATTCAGGAATTACTCCTGGTGGTGCTCAGGGGACCGCATGGGATGCTGGAAATTGAACCCGCGTTGCCTGCATGCAAAGCAAACACCTTACCAGCTGTGCTATTGCTCAAGCCCCAATTTTTTTTCTTTTTCATTATGTGTCTTTACTTTGTCATTGAAGATGATTTAACTGACAGTATATTTCAGTGCTTTCCTTTGAACCTAGGATAACAATGTTCTCTTTGTGCTACTTTAAAGAAAGGAGAAAGTGGTTTGGACAGTTGTGCTAGCTCTAATTCAGCTTCTTAGTGACTAATCTTGGTCATCCAAGATTAATTCCCAGTGTGGGCCGAGTGTTTACTACTCCCTGGAAATTCTGTTTGCATGGGAGCCCTGCCTTGTCTCCTTGCCTACATCAGTGTCATTCTTCCCTGTTACCGTCGTCACTGAAGTTAAAGATAATATTTCAAATTGATTAATATTCTAGTATAGGGTTGGGACATATTTAAAGAGTGTTTGTCCTTGTGAGGGGTGATGGGGCATGATGAGACACACCCAGCATTGTTCAGGGATCATTCCTGGCTTTGCACTCGGGAATTTTTCCTGGTTGTTCTTCAGGGGACCATACATATATAATGCCAAGGATTGAACCTGGGTTGGATGGATGTGTACATGGCTGGTGCCTTACCTGCTGTATTATCATTCTGACTCCAAAAATGTGTCTTTTAAATGATTCTATACCATCGTGATGTTATCATATGACTCAAGAATTTGTTAATAGATCAGAACAAGAATAGTAAAATTCTTTCAGGTACTCTGCTTGCTCTGAACTCTGAATCTAGGTCATTTTGGGAAAAGTAGCTCATTTTGTAGATATAATGCAGTATTATAATGAAAGAGCAGTGTAGTATCCTCTCCCTCTTGTGGTCCAACTACATAGTACTCAGGCTAAAGGCATAAGTGGTGCTGTGGGAAGTCCAGTCACATGGCTCCAAATTTAGAAAGGATAATTAGAGCCTTACAGTTATACTATTCCGGTGTTATACTGTGTCTTTGTATCTGGGTGCTTCGTCCTGGTTGGCCCATCAGCTTTCAGGTGCAGCTCCACTCAGTAAGTTATGACCAATCAGTAAGTTAGACATGAAATGTTTTCATCGTAATCATTAACAGAGCTAAAATTTTGCCCCTTTATATTTAAAGCTGGGGTATGGACAAATAGAAAATGAGAGATAGCAAATGTAATAATATAATATGAGCTTTTCTTTGATTCTCTAAAATATATAAAACTTCTTTAAATTTAACATTTTTGTGTAGTAGACATAATTACTGCCTCCTCTTCCTAGTTTTTCTTTCAGATGTCGCACACTGTTACAGCAGAAGGGGTGAATTGTATCTGCATTTGGCTCATAGGGCTGGTGAAAAATCCTTTCTCCTCTTGGCTTCCTTGGGAATTTGATAGTTGTGGTTTTCAGCCTTCCACTTGTTATTTCTCTTTTCTCAAGTGGAATACTTGCATTTAAATATCTCTCTTTGCCTTATCCAAAT